TATAAAGCCTAAAGGAGGAAGCAGAGGCAAAAAGTGACACGACTGTTATTAAAATTGCAGCTCAGCAGATAATATGCAGAGAAGAAGGAGCACTCTCTCTCTCTCTCTCTCTCTCTCTTTCTCTCTCTCTCTCTCCACTTGTTTCCAGCCAGGTGTAATTTGCATTAATAAGAAGCTCCCTAAGAATAAACTTTTCAAAGTCTTTCTGGTGATAGTGACTGTGGCATTTCATCTCTCAGTGTGACGCTCACCTCGGGCGAACGGTGCACAGGACAGAATTGACTTATGGGTGCTGACAGCTCAATCTCTCTCCATCATAATCAAGAAATATCATCTATGAGCTTCTGAAACTGGTGCTGATTTTTGTGTGCGTTAATTGAATTAGTGAATTTTCCCAGGTTGGGCTCACAGAGGGGTTGTTTGCAGCACCGGGATTGTCATTGGCTGTCGTTCAAACAACAGGTCAACATTCACTCCTATACATTTACACCGACCTCATTTTGTCCCACGCTGCACTAATTAGTCTTTTTTTTGTTGTTGTGTGAAAGCCTAGGGGAGTCCTGAACCTTCCCCCCTCTCACCCTCCCTCCTTGCTCCAAATGTCACCAAGGATCCCAATTACATTATTCTCAGAGACTCCTGTCTGATGAGGCTATTTCCAGCTTTGGAGCCATTCCTGGCTATTTCATTTTTGTGACTTCCTCATTTCCCGTCAGCAGTCTTTAGAAAACGTGACATTGCTGTGCTGGCTCATGGAGAGATGTGGTGGTGAACACACCTTGTTCTGGAGCCCAGCTGGTTGTTGTTTCACAACCTGAGCCAGGTTTGACAGAGAAGCAAACCTTAGTCTGTGGCTCTTTCAGGTCAAGACAAAGACGGTTACTGCATTTACTTAATGACTCCTGCGGCCGTACTCAAATTCACATTCATCTCTTTTTGTCTTTCTGCACGTTTAGCTGGAGCTCTTTAAAAAACAAAGTGGTGACGGAGCTCTGATCTTATTCTCATTAACTTCCTTTAATGACTACTGACAGTGACTCCGTTAACTCCTCTCATTCTGCACTTGTGCAGTGTGTATAAAGTCACAGCAGACTGAAATGTTAACAGGTCACTTCTGATTGGCTGGAAGGTTCAGCACAATCCATTAGTGTAAAAAATATAGTTTATTTGCTGGATCTAAATAATCTCTTCATATTAACTCCATATTTTCCTTTAAGGAATCAGTGTTTATTATCAATAGTGAGTTTTCCTGAAAAAATGATTGATTCACGGCCTGTAAGGTCAGAACTGTAGAATAGAATTGACTAAAATCTTTTGACCCCCCCCCACCCCCCCAAGCATGTTGTCAAATGTTATTTATTGCCCTCCATTGTTTGTTGCCTGGGTTCACAGCTTCCACTGAGGTGATTTTTAAATGATTTATTATTTTAATATATTAATTGATTTCTACATGTAGAAATCATTCTATGACCTGTGTCCACACGGACTGGAAAAACTCTATATATAGTTTGCCTCGGCCAGAGCCCACCTGCCTGCCTTTTCACAGTGGCTTCATTAGCTAATGGTCAACGTGAGGCAATGCTGGGGGTGAGCACAGTTCATCGTGTCCTCACCTTGACGGCAGGATGAGAAAAGCTCTTGTCTCCCCCCTTCATCGATACTCTGGGGGTGAGAGAAATAAGCGGCTCAGGATTCAGTGTCCCCGCCGCGGCCCTCTCCCTCTGCTGACCCTGACCTCTGCCTCCACCCAGGTGATGGACCAACCCTGCGGCGATCAAACGCTTCTGCCTCTCCTCCTTGAACTTATATTTTGTACCTATGCTACCTTCAAGTACAGAAAGAATCTTTTTTTTTAATTACTGATACTAAATGTAAATACTTTAATTAGTTGAATACTGTGACTTATATTTTCTGTGAAGGTTCTACTGACAAAAGAACGTCAGTGTTCTGTCGTACATCACAGTGTGGCTGCTGTGATCGCAGCTAATCCCAGTGAGAGAT